ACTCTTACCCAGAGTTATTACTGTTTAATTAATAAAATATTTTAGTAAGGTATTTATACAAGAATTCATACTAGGATTAGTGTCATACTAGAACAGAACAAAAGTATTGCGGTTGTTGGACAACACAATTTGGCTTGGGGACATATAATCAGATCTGGGAGTGATATAGCCTGATCAACTATATCTTTCCGAGAGGTGATTAGTATGTGCCTAGGAATGGTTGTGGTGTTGCAGTAAGTCTAAAAACTTACCAACACTACTACAATGAAAACTTTAGAACATAACATAAACTTAAAATACTATAGGAGTATTTTGTGTTACTATAATTACTTATTTGAGAACTAAAAAGTCTTTATTAGTTGGTCAATAGTTGTGGAGTGAATACGCTAAGGTTATATGTTACTAGGGTGTAATAGACTTAGAATCTGTGATCTTTGCTTTATTTCCTGTTCCTTGTTTGGTTGTGGATGAAGAGTTAGGGTCACTTATTCGAAGGTCTATTCTGTTTTGGCTACATATGACTGGTATGCACTATGCAAGTATTGAAGCAACTGGTAAGTATCATCCTATAAATATCATAAGTAGTACGTCTATTAAATATCTCTTTTATCCCTATTCTCACGTAGATAACATGGCTGGATTCCATCTCCCCGGTGACCCGTACTTTCCCAACCAAGGAAATGATGGATGGCTCGATGCAAAGCCAAAAGAGAATCATGCAACTCCATCGGATGATGACTTCGCAGAAGACTTCAAGGAGGATTCTGACTCCGAGCCGGAAGTTAATGATCTACCCTTAGAGGCTCCAATCCCAAATCCTAACCCTTGTCTGACTTTTCATGGCCTGATGCCTCAGTGGGCTGAGAACTTGGGTAGGTGGAGCTGTGAGCAGGGTCAATCCTTACCATACAACGGAGACCAAAGCTTCTACAACATAATGAGGGAGGATCTGCAGACAAAATTCTTCCCATTTTGATTCGTCGTGTGGCTCGCAATGTTGAGCTTGGAATGATAGCCATTCAGAAAACCATCGAACTAGATGCTAACACAAAGGCCAACATGGATAGTATCTGCAATCTTGAAGTTGCTCATGGGAGAGACAATGAGGCTTTGCAGCAAGAGCTAGCTGTAACTTGAGCTGAAGTCATAGAGCTTCGAACACACCAGCTAGTGTATGAGCGACACCTTCTTGATGTGGAGCGTCAACTGGCCGAATTAAGGATTCATCCGAGGGGTGTCTGTCGCCAGTAGGATATGCTCTACTCATCCTTTCTTTTGGTTTAAGGAATAGCCTTTTTATCTACGCTCTAAGTAGCACTTTTCCCTGTAATTGAACTTTCAGTCTCTTAGGTCTTAGTACTGTCAAAACTTTCTTATTATGGTTTGCTGTAAGACCTACTCTTAGGTCATTTTCCTGAAGTTGTTTCATCTTTAATACTAGTAATATTCACTAACATCAATAAATCGAATCACGAAATCTCAGTTGGGAGTGAATATTTCTCAGATTCATAAGTCTAGTTTATGTAGAACCTATTATGAGATACTTTCAAATCCTTCTGAAAGTTGGAACCTGTTATCCTCCAACCAAAGATAACTTAATTCGGATAACACCTGCCTTGTGACCATTCTAGAAACTTATTTCTACTCTTTACCAAGACTGCGTCATAGGGTTGTATGTCAAGTCATCGAAAACAGTATAACAAAATGAAAAAGTTACATTCACATAAATGATTAGAATACACCTAGAGCCAACCATAATCGCTCACGACCTCATTTTTTTATCGTATAACATAATCATGCCTCCGAAGAAACAAAACCAACCCGCTGACAAAACACCAATCCTTCAGATAGATGCAACTACTTTACAAGCTGCGCTCACAACTTCTGTAACAGATGTCATGACTTACCTTAGCCCTATCAACGCAAATGGTAGTGAAATTGTTATCAACAATCCCAATCAAGGTGATAACCAAGTACAACGATGAGTGTTCACTCGCAACGACACTCCAAACCTCAAATCTAATAACAAGAAATGGATATTTTGGGATAAAAAGAAGGGCAAATCACCTCGAAAGTTAGCCAAGAGACAACAACCAGTGGAAGCCTCTGAGGCCATGCCATCTGTTACTCCTAATACCGTTTCTACTAGCATCCCGATTACCCCTACCCAGCAAGGCAGTATGCTGGAAATCTACCCAACTGCAAAGAGTGCAACTTCCATCACCTGGGAGTCTACCGAGTGATTAACTGCAAGAAATGCAATAGGAACGGGCACACTACCCGTTTCTGCAGAGTCCCAATCCGACACATTACTTCGACCACTAATGTTGGAACCAATCCAATATGCCACCTTTGTGGCAAAATAGGACATTTCAAGAGGGACTGTCCAACAGAGAAGAATAGCGGGGGAGCAGGAGAAGTTTGACCCCAAAATATGGGGAAACATCAAAGAACCCTGCTATAATTTTGGTACACTTACAAACCCCATTAAATAATTATAATTATAATAACTCTTTTGTTTGAACCAAATCACAGCACTCGTATAACACTTGGAACCCTAACAGGTAAAGCTATGATGGCTTAGTGTATGCATTAGGTTCATCTATAATTAAGATTTGATACTTCGAGTGAGTGATTTCACCTCATTTCCTGTTCGTTGTTTGGTTGTGAATCTAGGGCAGGTTCACTCAGTCAACTGTCTTTCCAATCTTAATTATACATGACTGGTGTACACCAAACAGTTATAGAGAGACCTACCAGAGGTCATTTCTTGAATGTTCGTTGTTTCAAATCCTCAGAACCCTTGTTTAGTTGTATTTGTTATTTTAGATAAAATAGGGTTCGTAGTAATCATTCCAAGGTTAGTTCTTCGTTCTAGTAATTATTTCTTCTTCCAGATCAACATAATATCTAATTCATCAAGAAGTTCCGATATCATCTTCCAATATGGTTTGGCTTATTCCTTACCAAGAAAACTTTCCGTGCTGTGTAAAAAGAACTTTTCCCTTATATTCTCTCTGACTTCAGAACTTCAGAAGTACCCATGCGAGGGGTACCACGCCCTTCTAGCCTACCCAGTGGTTAACAGCCTTAAAGCGAAAGACACTAAAGAAGTCTCAGAAGTCAGTAACCACCCGAAGTATACCGAGTAGATCTCTGAGAGAGACCACCCGTAATGCAAGCCAAGTTCAAGGATAGAGACTAAGAATTCATTAGTTAATCAATCACTGCTAAGTGTATACGCATGAGTAGCATATAATTTTGACTCAACAAGATTTAGGATGCGTGGTTCCGCCCTATCTCCCGTTCCTTGTCTGGTTGTGGAATTGGGGTAGAGCCACCCATCCGAACGTTTTGTCAATCTAAATTATATACGACTTGTAAACACGAAGTGATGGTGGATAACCTAAGGATGAGTCTTATCATGAACTTCAGAACAAAATCCGCAGGCTTACTGCAAACAACCGGAGATAACTGAGAGGAAGCTGTTGCGGATTACAAGGAGCTTCATAATTAAGTTAACCATGGCAACAGGTGGACTTGATTTCCATTTTGGGTAAATCTCGACAAATCAGCCAAATCCATACCATTCCTACAATCTTAAGGAATCAGGCAAAATAGGGAAGTTAACTAGGACGTGAGTCCAAGAAATTACTTAGACTGCACGATGTTCCAAATTTTGTTATCTCAGTTTGAGATAGTAGAATGATCTCCCGGTTCAGGCAGTCACTTCAGAAATTTTTAGAAACTAGGCTAGTCATGATGCATGTCCTGCCATCTTCAAGACCAACAGATAGAATGAGGGAATGGTTCAATCATTAGGAGTTGTGCGGAGAACATATGTGATAGACTTTGGAAGAACAAGAATACCCAATTATCAACTAGTCGAGTCCTTAACCATGTTAGCACTTAAATTTGCTCCATTCGAAGCCCGATTTGGTCGTAAGTACAGATCCTCTCTGCAAATGATTAAAGTAGGTGACACGCAACTAGCTAGAGGTCCAATTTCCAGGCAACATTTTCGCTGGTCCGGAATTCATTCAAAAAACTACCATGAAGAGAGTACAAATCTAGGAGCGACGTGAAGCTCCCAGGGTTAGGCAGAAAAGCTACCGCCTTCGATAAGAGAAAACCCTTGGAAATTCCAGGTTGGTGACCTCGTTAGGTGAAGGTCTCATCCAGAGGGGCAGGATACGCTTCGGAAAAGCATGCAATGCTAAATCGAAGGTACGTAAGATCATTTGAGATTCTTACTAAAGTTGATCCAGTAAGTTATAGACCCCGACTACATCGAAAATCCAATAACATACACCCTACTTTCCACGTATCCAACTTGGAAGCTGGTCGTCCGACGGAACTTTTGTTATTCCACTCGCTTTGATCGAGGTAAGCGAGAACCCCAACTGTGTGGAAAAATCCGTAGAAACCCGAGACTGCGTAGTCGTTAGCACTAATCGGATCCCTATCCTCACCTTTTCCCTTAGTTTATCTATAATTTCTTAAACTCTAATTTTGGGAAGAAATTTCTTTTAACGGGGGATGATGTGACAACACGAAATTTCTATCACTACTAGAAAACAGCCTTTTACAACGCTCATTGCGCGTCGTAAAACGCTCAGACGATGCGCAAATGCACGTCAAGAAAGGCCCTGTCATAAAGAGAGATGACGCACATTTACGACGCGTATTTATGATGCGCATAAAGGAAGACGACACACATTTTCCTGCCGTAACCTTACGACTCCCGTGTTTATGACACACAATGCGTATCAAGGAAGCCCCTGTCAAGAAAGGCCATGTCATAAATGAAGATGACACATTTGTGCATACCATAATTTTAAATGTTCTAAAAAAATTTATTTATATATTTATTAATTTTTAAATTACATTTTCATTTAATGTCTCATAATAGAAATAAAATATCATATACAAAAAATATAACCCATTGCATAAAATTTAATGTCATACAATTCTATTATTTACAATATCTAAATTTGCATCTAATCTACTATGTACATCAAATTCCAACTAAGTAAAGTTGCATCTTGCCTTTCATAATTCTTTAAGACTAATGCTCCAAGCAGCTGATTATATGGATAAGTAGTTGTACATTGGCCCATCTCACTCAAGAATGACTTATCCAAATTCAACTCCAAGTCTTTACTGCATCTTGCTGATAATGCTGCAAGATTTGAATCAAGTGGCTTCATATTCCTTTCTTCCATCAACTTTACCTGATGCACAAAATACACAGAAACAAAAAAACATTGTAGAGGAAGGGGTAATTTGGGAAAATGTGAGGGGTATCCTCTACAAAACAAAACAAAAAAATATCCTTTGTAAGATTTGCTCTTTAGTATCCTCTGCAAAACAAAACAAAAAATATATATCAAAAATGAATTTTTTTATAGTTTTATATTATAATTATGCCTAGAGTAATGCATACATGAAGAACCATTTGTTAGCTCTACAACACTTTTTGAATCTGAACCTTGTCTTTCATCACTAACACCAGCACCTTTTAAAAGTTGTTGGTGTTAGTGATGAAAGACAAGGTTCAGATTCAAAAAGTGTTGTAGAGCTAACAAATGGTTCTTCAAGTATGCAATACTCTAGGCATAATTATAATATAAAACTAAAAAAAATATGGTATGGGGTTGAATGATGTACATCATGAACCAACACAACACAACAGATATGATAGTTAACTTGAATTGCAAAGTGTTGTTAATGGCATCACTTATAAGCTCCCAGTTTGGTTCGGATAGTTCTAGAGGCCTATTTCGGTAACGGCGGAGAATATAGTATTAAAAAAAAAGAAGAAGTAAAAAAGTACAATAGAGAACTGACGTGAGGAAAGGCCCGCCATTTAGGTTATTTGGCATGACTTGAGAAAGAGCAAATGCATGAGAAGTATGAGGTTGCTGCAACTGTTTTGGATCCTGATTATCATTCTTTGTAGAAAAATGATTATATGAGTACAATAGAGTCATTCATAATAATAATAGTTGCATAGCATAAAATAAGTTAGAAAGTTATTGAGAGACTACCTGTGTCCTTCTGTAATGTTGTTTCAAAATGAGATTTCAGTGTATCCTCTTCCATTGGTCCCTGCAACCATTGAAATAATTGTGTTGCACTACCCTATATAAACACACATACATACAATTATACTCACACATATGTATACTATATCAACATGTATATTTCATATATAAAAAAAAATTGAATATTGCCTCTAGCATGCCGGGTAAAGTAGAGGGATAAGGCTGGGAGTTCCCTGAATCTTCAGCACTATCCGCCCCGTCACCAGTATTTTGATCCATTGATATTTTATGTCGCTCTTTGAATTCTTTTGACTTGCGAAAAATGAACTGCACACACATGTAATAAACCAACCACTTTAATATAAAATTTAAAAAAAAAATTTAAAAGTTTTTGGGATACCATAGTTACCTTGAATTGCAAAGTGTTGTTAATGTGAACTTCATCAATTAATATGATCCCAACTTCTGAATGATAAAAAGAACTTATTGTTTGCATCACAATGTTCAAATAAAGGAATTTCAAATTACCATGTGAACTTCATCAATTACTATGATCCCAACTTCTGACAAACACCCCTCTTCCAAGAATCTATTAAGTAGAGTTTATCTTCTCAATTTTGCAAACATCAACAGATGTATCATTAGGAAGCGTTCCTCCACCTTGGCTTCCATATTAACTACGAACATGCTTGTCAAGTGGTTCCAGTAAGGCTTCCAAGATGTTCTTCCGGCATCACTTACATACAAATAATGAACTTCAAGAACATAAATACTAATTCTCAACTAATAAGATACAGAAATACCCGAACCTTCTCTGTACAAATGGACACATAGGGAAGAACAAGAAGAATTGCCACTTTTCTTATTGAAAACACTCTACGTAACATCAAGATTTTTGTAACAAAACTTTTCCCAGCACTATGCCAGAAAAGACAAATGGTTAAGAAAAAGTGATTAAGTAGAAAAGATTTAGCAGCACCCCATCCACCTGGAAAAACAGAACCTCAATTAACAAAACAAAATCGATTTTAAAGTTAAAGAAACTAGAAAATACAAATAGTTAAAAATACTAGAGAAGTACCTGCCATGGATATAGTTTTGATATTCCTCGTTTTTTTATATGTTATGCATAACTCAGAATGGAGTATCATGAACTCAATGTGCAGTCATTACCAACATCCAGATGTGAAGCAAAGTGACAGTTCACAAAACATATAATCTGACCACAGATTCTCATCCTAAATCCAACTCCTCCCTATTGAAACTAGTAAATTTATAAGTTGTTATTATTACATAACTAAAAGTAAATGAGAATTTTAAAAAGCAGTTACCTTATTACCAATAGCATTTCCAAATCCACATGGAAATGCTGCCAACTCAACATCTCCAACATTACTTCTAATACAGTTCCTCACCCTGAAATTAATCACATTTTCTTATGAACTCACTTAATATAATGAGTAACACACAACAACAACAATACCAACTCTTTCTGGAGATAATAACACAGGAGGCTGATTTGGACTACCATTTTCAGTGTATCTTTGAATGTACATTGAGCCTGAAGTTGGTTTAGATAAACCAACAATAAACTGAATGAAATAATTAAAAGAAAAAAAAAAGTGAATATAAAAATATAAAATAAAATAGTATGGGAATTAATTAACCTGTAAAAGAGTAGTTTTTCCATTTCCACTTCGCCCAAAAATCAAGCCAAAACTGTAACAAACAGAGCTATATTTTACTATTTTTATATTTAATCTTACTATATGAATAGGAAATACAAATGTGGAATGATCTCAAAAAAATGAAAATGTGTATGGAAAAAAGAAAAAAAAAGAATAAAGTTGTATTGTATTTAATCTTACTATATGAATAGGAAATTCAAAATATTTTCATGAATATATAAATCCATATAACACACCCTTTTAAAAACAGTTATACTATTATAAACCAGTCAACATTGATTTATCCTGTTGGAACTTTTACACTTTGGATATTTAAAATTTTGTTTTAGTTAATAATCATTTTGAAATATTTCTTTTAATCAAATGATATTTAAAAACAGTTATACTATTATAAACCTAGTTGACTGTGACCTAACTGGGAAAGAAAATAATTTGTTACCTACCTAAATGATATGAGGTAATTGGTTTTGATAGTAGTTAATTACACCTTTTAAAAACAAAACAAAAGCAAGGGTACCTATAGAGAAATAGGTAACCTCTACTTGGACCTCTAATTCGACTGAGTAAAAGCAAGTATTCTTTGTGTGGTCCGGTCTATGTGACTTCCACAGACCAAAGCCCGATCCTGTGGGCCCTATGTTACGTACGGAAAGCAACAATTATCCATTTTAACTTACCATCATATAATTATACAGGGTTATTTCTAAAAGATGGTTGTCACATACAACTTTAGACAAAGGTAAAGCTTATATATTTATTTTATTTTTAAAAAAAAGGTAGATAGATTATTATTTATTAAGATAAATGGTTAATGTGTAGTGGTGGAGAAGGGAAGTAGCAAGTATAATTAAAGAAACTGACAAATGGTCCAAAACAATATCCTAATGATAGAATGAAGGTAAAATTTGATTCTTGAAATGGCAAGATGCTAGTTAGCATGAAAAACGTACAGGCTGTGAAAGCATATGAGTTGATATGTTCAGAAAGAGAAGATAATCATTTATGTGACTGGACATTAGCATGTGGGTGTCTGTCTATGTGCATGTGTACAATCATGATGATGACAAGGTATTAATGAATGTTTTCACATTCACACTCACACTCCATAAACAAATTACCTGCTATCTTTTTCTGAATTACTAGATTCCAACCAAAACCGATCTTGATGAGATGAGACAACATTACAACCATTAACAGGAGGTCTGGATGAATTCATCATCGGTTTGGTGGATATTCATAGTGGTGGTGTATTGGGTGTTAAGTTTACTTCCACATGCTTTCTTGAACGATTTCTGCCTCTATGCATGTGCCTTTCACAGTATTTTGAATCGGGATAAGCCTCTTTATAGCATCTCCATTTCTTTCCATCTCTTCTTCTGCATCTCCCTGGTTCTGGATCTATTTTCATCCCAAATCCCATGTGGAAACAATTCCTTACAACTCCAACTGTAGATTTGATATACATATATGTTCATCAATCACCTTTTAAAAAAATGTTTTAGTTTGGTTCATTGGTCTCTATTTTGACAAAGTGAAAAAGAGTTTTGTTTTTTTCTTATAGGAAGTACTTCAAACAGTTGGCATGCATATCCATGTTCAAAAACTTTCTTTCGAAACTATTTTCGAGTTGAGATATACTATTTTTTGTTTTGACAAGTAAAAAAGACAGCTTTTTCTTGTAGAAAATACTTCAAACAGTTGGTATGCATACCCTGTTCGACAAGCACCTATGATCCGAGGTAAAAAACTAGCATGAAAAACATATAATTAGACAATGAGCATTCATATTACAAATAAGAACATAACTCATAAGTATATAGGTGTACAACAAATAAAGAAACTAAACAAAGTGTAAACAAATCTGGAAAAAAAACCTATGAAGCTGATATGGAGAGAAGGAGAGTGCAGGAAAACTTTCGTTTATCACATTAATTGGCATCAAACTAAAATAAATCTCAGTAATACTTTAAACAGGGATGTAGAATAGAAAACTAAAAGAAATCGAAGTGGAATTGTGGTATAGCTAGGCAATTGAAGGAATTGTAAAAATAGGAGTATACGAATCTAGAATATATAATCAATTGAATCTATTGCAAGTATTATTCGAAGCATCAAATTCAGAAAAGAAATCAAAGAGGTTGTCAAGCACAGTTTTTTGTTTGATTGATGTTTTCCCGCCAATCTCCAAATCGGCGATCCAAACTCCAAATTGGTGAGCCCAAATGCAAAATTGGAGATCCCAATCAGGAATTGGATCAATTCCGAGCAGTAAAAACATGTTCCATGTCACACCCCGAAAACCGAAGGCGGAAACATTTCCGGGGTTGACTCCATGTTGAGTATCAATTTCAATGTACATAGTAAGTAAAGTAGAACAACCATTACATTACATATAAAAGTTTTACAGTTGTTTTCAAAAGTAAAGTTGTACAGTTGTGATAGATAGTATATATATATGAACAAAATGAAACAGATCTTCTGAGCACTTCAACTTTGAGCAAAAAGGATCTTCGGTACCTGTTCTAACGTTGACCTGAGAACACAAGCGGTTTTGAAAATCAGCATAACGCTGGTGAGTTCATAAGTAGTATTGTTTTGTGAGAATGTCCATGTTTCAATTATGTTTCTAAAAAGGTTATACACCAAGAAAATCCCACATTTTCTTAAAAGTTGGTTGTTGTTTCACAAAAGTAAAGTAAAGTTTGGTTGTCCAATTCGTTAAACTATTCTGTTTACGTACCAGTGTATTCCCTGGAAAGTCCCCATACTTTCCTGTATGTTGGTTTTCAATATGAAAGATGTATTCTGTTAGACCTGATTATGTACAAGGTTTCCCAGGAAGGTCCCATACCTTCCTGAATGTTAGTTATCATTGTAAAAGATGTATCCGTGTTATGTTCAATGTTTTCCCCCAGGAAAGTCCCATACTTTCCTGATTGTTGGTTACCTTATGTAAAAGATGTAAAGATGTAAACCGAAACCTGGTTATCTGTAAAATGTAATAAGTGATTCATTATTACTATAAGTAAATCTCTGTTATCCTAATTGCGAGTTCCATAACCATACTAGAGACTGAACCTGTGGCGATAAGTAGTCCACGACCTTATGACTTTCGTCACCCTTGAACCATTTCGGTTCGGTTGTAGCTAGCAGCCAGGTGTGGGGTAGTCAGCCCCGTATAGATCTATACACTCAAGTCACGCTCTATAAATCCCAGAGATTCTGGTTACGGGTGTAGTCCTCCACTCGCGTATCTCTATGGAGTGTTCCCCGAGGACGTGTCTCCAATCATACAGGAATAACAAACTTACTAGTAATAATATGATAATCCTCCATTCGCGTATCTATGTGGAATGTTACCGAGGACTATACGGTGTACAAATTATATTGTTCATGTGTTCTAATGTCATGCTTTTAACTGATAAAATGTGGAAAAAAATATTTGTGAAATATATAAAACATAACAGCTTATAAAACCTATTTCACAAATAAATGTTACGTGATCTGCATGTCTTACTGGTTATCAGATGTGTATATCAGTATTAAAAAGCATATGAAATGTGAAACACACACATGAAAATACGTCTTGTGTACAAGAAAACCCTTGTACTTTGCTTGTGTCCCCCCCCCCCCCTTGAAAACAGTGAAAAACAATGAAAAAGGGTAGGGGTATGAACTCACCAGGTTTGGTATGTCCCTATGTAAAATGTAATAATGTCCATATGTAATAATGTCTAAGCGTGGGTTCGGGGCTTGATTACTCGCGATGTCCCTATGTAAAATGTAATAATGTCCATATATAACTAATTAGATTTACAATTACTAATTATATGGAACATTACACTCCAACGAGGTTAAACACCTCAATACGAGCGTTTGGAGCGACCCGGGTGACATCTTCGGACGTAATTCGGCTCTAGGGACTTGGGACTTGAGTTTACTCTCCAAAAGTAAACATATAAAGGAGTTTACAGCCACAAAACACACACACACACATGAGTTTACGGCCGTAAACTCATGTTGGTGTGATTTTGAGAGTTTAATGGCTTGAATGGACTTAGGGATTGTTGGAATGGACTTCTAGAATGCCTTGGATTAATTTGTTTGGATTTATAACATTTAAAAAGGGAGTTTAAGGCTGTAAAGTTAGAGTTTACGGCCGTAAACTCACCCATGGTCAAGAAAAATTTGTTTAAGGCACAAGGAGCAATCACATGTCATTCTAACTAATTTTCTAAGGCTTGGTATCAATTTTTGGCTTCAATTAACACCTTTATATGGGTTTACGGCCCAGACACATACTCTCTGGTCGTAAACTCTAATATGGTTAAGGAAAATTAGTTTTTGATGCTTAAAACACTCATATGTAATTCTAGGAATTTTTTCAGAGCCTTAAAGGTGCATTTTGGGCATTTTTAGCATGATTATATGAGTTTACGGCCAAAGGCTATGTGCTTAGGCCGTAAACTCCAATATGTAAGGCATTTGATGTGTTTAAGGTCTCCAAACCATTTTTAGATGATTCTAGGATTTACCACAAGGCTGTTGGTTAAGTTACAAGGCATTTGGACATGTTTAAAGGCTCTTAATCCCCATTTTAGAGGAGTTTACGGCCCAAGAAAGAGCCTTGGCCGTAAACTCTCTTTTGTCCCATATAATTCATGATTTATATGTTTCAACTCCCAATTAATAAGTCTTAACGTCGTATCTAAGTCCCATATATGATTTGGAAGGGTTAAATGGCTCAAAAACCCTCATTTGTAGGTGTTTACGGCCCAAGCTTGATCCTTGGCCATAAACTCATGTTCTAGGTCCTAAAACATAGATTATACTCACATTTGAAGGCTAAAGAGGTTGTATAGCATGCTAGGGAAGTTACCTCAAAGATTTGAAGCCTTAAACTTGAGATTTGGACCTTTAATTCTAGTTTGAGGAGAGAGGTTGGAAATGTTTATGTAAGAAATGGCCAAAAGCTTCAAATGGAAGCTTTGAATCACGTATATAGTGCTCGAAAATTGGACTCGATGGAATTCTACCCGATACCGGCGTTAAGTGGGGCTTTTGGTCGTACCCGACCAAATTGTCGTGACCCGATATGGTCGATTCTAGAATTATTCTGATAGTTATAATGGGGTGTTAAAATGATTTCTAATGGCATTAAGACACCCATTAAGTCATTTTAGATCAATATAAGTTAATGACTTAATAAAATGGCGAAATCAGAAACGAATTTGGAAACGATGTTTGGTTGATCAAATTGGATTACAAGTTGTGTTACAAGAAGTGATATGAAATTTTGGGTTGTTACATTATCCCCCCGTTAGAGGGAATTTCGTCCCAAAATTCAAGACAAAATACAAGACAAATACAAATCATGGATCTAGAAAGAGTTGTGGATACTTCTGTTTCATCGAGTTTTCCCGCTCCCAAGTGAACTCCGGTCCTCGCTTGGCATTCCAGCGAACCTTCACTAACGGGATGCGACTTTGTTTCGTACGTTTGACTTCTCGATCCATGATTTCGATCGGTTCCTCCACGAAGTTGAGGTTTCATCGATCTGAATCTCATCTAACGGAATCACTAGGGTTTCATCAGATAGGCACTTCTTGAGATTTGAAACATGGAAGACAGGATGGATGTTACTGAGCTCGTGAGGTAAACGAAGTTTATAGGCTACCGGACCAATCCTGGCGAGAATCTCAAAAGGTGCAATGTACCTCGCATTAAGTTTCCCACGCTTACCAAAGCGTACAATGCCTTTCCAGGGCGAGACCTTCAACAGGAGACGGTCTCCAACCTGGAATTCCAGTGGTTTCCAATGGTTATCAGCGTAACTCTTCTGGCGATCACGTGAAGCTTTCAATCGTTCTCAAATTTGGATGATCTTCTCGGTGGTTTCATGGATGATCTTAGGACCAGTGAGCGCACTGTCAGGGACTCGACTCTTGGCTAGCTGTGTATCTCCCACCTCGGCGCAGCACAGAGGGGATCTCCACTTACGACCGTATAGGGCTTCGAACGGGGCAACCCCAATGCTGGTGTGATAACTGTTGTTGTATGAGAATTCGATCAAAGGTAGATGTGCGTCCCACGACTTTCCAAAGTCAATGACACATGCCCTAAGCATGTCTTCCAGAGTTTGGATTGTTCTCTCACTCTGTCCATCTGTCTGAGGATGATATGCCGTGCTCATATCCAGTTGGGTTCCAAGAGCTTTCT